ACGTAGAGAGGAGAAGAAGTACGTACGTACGTACCGACGACCGACGTGGTGGTAGGACGAGAGTAAGTAGGTAGTGTAGTTATTCCTTTCGTTCGTCTCTCTCTCTCTCTCTCTCTCTCTCTCTCTCTCTCTCTCTCTCTCTCTCCATATACCTAGTCTGCAAATTAAGTAGTTTTTTTATCTGAACAAGAAGAATATGGAGTTTCTGAGAACAGTTGTAACGCCCAAGCGTAGGTGGAATGAAATGAAATCGATTGGCTATTCCCTTTCATGAGTGGTTTTATCTAATATATATGCAAATTAAGAACTTCATTATTTGGCTAAAAAGAATATGAAGTTTATGAGCGGCTACATGCTCAATTTTGCTCGTTCTTACCTGCGAGGAGAGATGGATCTTGAGCGAGAGCGACCTGGCCTGCGAATTGGAGAGCGACTGCGACGACGTCCTATGGGAGACCTCCTAATCGGACTACGCGCTCGTCTGGGAGGTGACCTGAAAAATTAAACAGCTTCTATGAGAAACATCACATGTACGAGAAATATTGCAAAAGTGTTTTTCTTATCAATGAAAAACTAATATTACAAAAACATAGTTTCAGAAAAGGTGACTGATACAATAATTACTCATGCACTCCAAATAAAATTTAAAAGGTCCTTTAGAAAGTAAAAAAGAAATGGACAATACAACTTGGAAAAGGTCACAAAAAATTTCACGAAGTACATAAGTGGATACCAACAAATCCCACTCCATACACCAGATAATGGTTATTAAAAATCCCTTAAGCTTTAGTCTAGAGGTAAACATCCGGCTTGCATGAAGAATTTGAACCTAGGAAGTTGTCCCCAAAACAAATCATACCTTCTTAACTAAAAGAAACACAATATACTTACAGAATGGAACATAATATACTTACAGAATGTGTGCGTTCAGGAAATTTCAAAGGACTACTACCTACTGTACCTGACTTAATAATATTCTATATCCCATACAGTGAGAAAGTAACAAAAAGGAATCCACAAAAAGATAGTCATAGCCCTCCAGCTACCGCCAAAACAAACAGCAACATGCGAAGGTCAATTACTACCAGCCAAAATTAACCAGAATTCCATTATTCCAGCTTACCGCCTTCTCAAAGGAATAGGAGAACGCTTGCGGCCAACTGGACTGCCTCTACCTCTTCGTGGAGAAACCCTGTCACGAACAAAACTGTTTATTCACATTGAAACAACCAATTCCTAAGAACATGAACGCTGATAAATGGTTGCAAAAGCTGACTATAAAAAGGGACAACAAGAAAACTATCCACCATTGGATCAATCACCATCCATGATATGTTGGATGGTCTCTCACACGAACGAGCACTATCTATTAGAACATGGCCCCAATTGAATGTGTTCATGGCCCCAATTGAATATTTTCCTAGCCCATTGGACTGGCACATTTCCTTGCATTAGGAGAAAACCTCCCATATAAGGAACTAAAGGAACCAGATGATCCAGACCATCAACATTTGATGAAATGGACAGAAGAACATAGAGAGAGACCCACCATTGAGGTATCATGACCAGTTCCTATGGCTCGTACTCTATTCATCAGCATCCATCATTTCATAGACTTTGATGACCCCAATGGACTTCAGTCCTCTATTGGCCGTCGAATTTAGTATGCTTCATTGACTTCAACAACAAGAATGGCCACCTAAATGAACCATTCTCCATTGGAATTATGAAAACCAGTCCATTGTGGCCACCACCTTCAATGGGAATGGTGGATGGGGATGGGAGAGTAGGGCACACCATTAGGATCATACCCATTTGTGGGTTTTACCATGAGATCACATTGGAGTAATCGACTGTATGCTCATGGGACTGCAGTATAGCATACTTCATCAAATAACATAGCCAATAAGAATGGACAACTGACCGAATAGGAGACCTGTGCCTTCGATGAGCAGGAGATGGGGAGCGCCGTCTAGCGGGAGAAGCAGGTCTTCTTCGAGGTGGAGAGTCACCACGACGGTAAATGGGAGACTCCACTCGGCGACGAGGAGGAGGAGAGTTGTTGCGTCGACGAGGGGGAGAATCAGCAGGCCTGTGCCGAGGGGATTCCCCCCTCCGCGGGCCAACAGGTGATCTCCTTCGAGGGGATGGTTGTGGTTTGCGACGTGGCGAAGCTGCAAAGCAGGAGAGCGAAATGCCACGTAAATCTTTGCAAGTGACAAGTCAACCAACTTGTTTTGTTTTTACTTTGATCTTCCATAAATTGACCAATTATATGGCATTTCTATGTTGAGTGTATTGGGACATGGAAAGTATGCAAACCTCTTGAAGACAGCCTTGAAACTCTAGAAAATGGAAAGGGAAGAAGGGTGAGGGAAAAGGGAAGAGGAAGAAAAAAGAGGGTGGGGGAGGGTATTCTTTGGGAAAGCGTGCCACTATACCGTGAGGTTAAATCATATTTTTTGTGAAGCAGAGAGAGAGAGAGAGCGAGAAAGGGAGTCAAATAGAGGACTAGAGAGTTTGGAAAGTGTGCAATACTTGTGTGGAATCAAAATATATTCTCAATCAAGCAAAACGGCAACTGAATGCAAGGTACAAATCAAAACTGCTATTTTGCCAAATGATGGAAGCAGAAATGTCGAATTGAACTGGATTTCAGACCAATCAATAAACAATCGTAAAAGGCAAACTAAATTTTCAACCTAACCTTCAATTCAAATATTGAGACATGTCTACTTCCACTATATACATTTCTTTTTATGGTTTGACTAATTGCACTAGGTGAACCAGTGCATCAAACCCTTGCAATCAAATTTACAATAAAAATATTTTGAAAGCAATAACTGTAAACTTAAGGAATAAATTTTATTCATCATAGTGTTCCCGGACTCAGCTTCGCCCTATGGGCAAGGCAAGTTTCACTGTACACCAAGAATATAGACCATATTATAGTATGCCTCTTTTGACTCAAAAAATTCAAATATTTTGTTGGGTTGTACGCATGGTTACCCTCACTACATTGGGAATTCCAGCCTTACATACACCACCTAATTTTTATTTTTTTATTATAGCTAAACCTTTCAAGGTTAAAAAAAAAAAAGAGCCAGGATGCCAAAAAGGGAACCCCTAAGGATCGATCCGAGATCCCTTCGCTGATGGAGCTACCAAAGGCCGCTCAGCTAACCGAAAAGCCATTTCATGCTTAGCGTCAAGAAAATGGGCAGTTATAATATATGTATCTGTTTTTATGGTCTTTATTTTTTTGTCTTTAAACCGGACTGGACTCGGGCGAGTTACTCAGGTGACCGAGTAACTTACCTCAGCCAAGGGCAAAGTTCCTTGGCCGAGCTGAGTCCAAAAACACTGTTGGTCATTGAAATGAATCACTTACTTTCCCTTGGACGCTGCACTGCATCCTTTTCAACTTCTGCACCAGTACTATCCCTTGGAGGAGGTTCTCTTTTCAGAGGACCTGCTCCTGCCTTGGGTGGTGGTGAGGCCTTCTGGCGTGGTGGTAGGGTGAACCGTGCCCGAACAACATTCCCATCAATCTGACTCTGAATTGGAAAGAGAAGGAATTCAGTATGCCAATAATTTCCATACTTCCATTAACCTCTTTCTAATAGTTAAACCTGAGATTACCCCATCCATGTAAAGAAGAGCTTTTTCAGCATCAGCTCTTGTCTTGAACTCAACATACCCATAGCCTCGTGGCAACTGGACCTGCAAGCACAAGACCACATTGTCACCTACACATTCTCATCTTAGAGCATTTTTTCTCATGAACACGTTGGAATGATATTACTATTCTTAAACTTACAGTTCGGTCCATTGTGAGTTCCACATTAACCACTTCACCAAAGTTACCTATGCAGTGTGGCAGAAATAAAGTTCAGTAGTTTAAAATTGCAAGAAACAACTTCAAAACTGACAAAACTCATAATGTTATATAATGATATGCAAACCTAGAAAATCGATATCTGGGAAGTGTTCCATAACTATCCACTAAGATTTTGAGACACAAAAACTCAAGAAAAATATATTAATTTACATAACTATAGCTTAGTTTGTTTTCATCTGCCTGATAAGAAGATTTTAAAATTGAGAAACATAGAATACAAAGCACATTTATCTTTGTGATTGACAGGATATAAAGCATCTTTCTACACATCAAGAGAGATATAAGGTGCTATAAAAAAGAGTTGGAGGAGAGATGTAGGATTAGGTGCTTCGGGATGGATTATTCATTCTACATAAAAAGCAAAAAAAATTTGAGAAAGATCAAAAAGAAAATATTAAACTCGCACACATCAAAAAAGTGAAAAAATCAGATAAGCTTACTGAATATTTCTTTCAAATGGGCTTCATTCACATTTCTAGTGAGTTGGTCAATGTGGAGGACCACTGACTCAGGGACTGGAGAGGCTTTCCTGTTCATATGTAAATATGTTAGGGATCCGGGAATATCAAATCTTAAAATAACATCTTTAGAACAACAATGACTGGGCCAATTAATTGCAATAGCATCAAAGACGCAGCAACCAGGATAATTAAATACTTTGTAGTTTAGCAAAGCAATATCTCCAAATACAAAGACTGGTATAATTATGGCAAAAAGAGTACTAATGATATTAGATAAATAAAGAAAAGGACGAATAAACTAATTAACAGTATTTTTTTGTTCCTTCATTTCTATGATTATGGGCTCTTTGTACTTTTATCGCTGATATGGAGCCAAAAGTAATATTGTCATACAACTTCAGAAAAGAACATTGGTTCTGCACACCATGTAGATACACCTCGTAGACTGCATGCTGAAGAGCTTCATATGACACAGGGGATTACAGATAGAAACAACCCATTCTCAGCCATGTTAAAAATCAAACTTCAACACAAGCCCAAGTATAGGGGTCTGTCAAATACACCAATAACATTGAACGTTTTTCGAGACAAACCAAACTCAACAAAGACTTCCCAAAGTTTGAAAAATTCAAACAAGTGTCCATAGGTTCAATGAAATAATTCCAAACAAGATTATGACCAATAAATAGCCTCTCAATTTGGAGCATTAACCTAGCCCACAAGGTAGCAGGATTGAATCTTACAGTTTCCTATCCAAAACTAAGGAATGACCTTCTATTTTATCCCTCCATGGCCCTTCTAGACTTCCTCCAGATTTGGCTTCTTGTTTATTTCATCTCACCCCATGCTCCTACCTCCTTTCCTGTCTAGTTTCTAGTACAGGTAACCTTCCTCGATCACTTTCAACTACCAAATCCTAGCACCCCAGGCCATCTCCCCAACAAAGTCCCCCTTAATCTCTCCCCCCACTTCCAGCAGGCATTTTGGGTCTGCTTCCATCCCCCCACTCCAAGGAATCAACCCTCAACAGCTCAGTTTCTGCACCAAGGATGCCAGGATAAAAGACTCTTCTAGTTCTGATAGAATCTCATTACTAGGTGGACTTTGACGAAAACAAAAAACTGGAAAGGGCCAAGGAGAACATCTGCACTTTTCATGGGTTTTAAATACGCTATAGATTTGCCAAGCAAATCTGCCAAGCCATTAGGAATAACGCTACAATGGCAGGTAAATGTCACAGAGAGATTAACACTCCCTTTAGTAAAGGCTATGAGAAGGTCACGGCTTCAAACCAGGCCTCTCAACATCTGCCCACGCTAAACAAACACTAATAGAAGCATTGTGCTATCCTTTGTGCAAAGCCATCTGCCTCAAGTTCTTGTTCACCAAATTGACGGCCCCCTCTCTCCCATGGCCTGTCAAGCTTGGCAGAGGCATCCATGTCAATGGGAGGCCCGTCTTGCCTAGAAGGCCTCAGGAGGCATCTGGTCCTAGCATCCTATCGTCATCTTCAGTCCACATAGGACACTATGCAATGACGAACTTTTTGCTCAGATGTTTTGATGGTTTAAGGTGGAAGTTTTCTGAATTGAATTAAATACCAGACCAGGAATCTTGGACTGGAGCCCAACATGGATGCATTTGTGTGCAATAAGAGCACCACATAAAATCCGTCTTATCCTAGCCACAGGCCCCTATGTGAAGGAGAAATAACACAGTTTAAAATATCTCTCAAGCACAAGGCCAGCACTTTGGATAAAATTCCATGGGAGCTGTTTAGCAGGCTTACGGGCCAAAAATCTTTGGGTTCTTCAGCCGCATCCATCTTAGGAACCAGATCAATGAAGCTGGAGTTCAGCCCTCTATCCACAATGGCCCCTGAAAAAAATCTGTGAGAAGTGCTAAGAAATCATGACAAGTGTGTCCCTGAATTTGGGGAAGAGGGCAACAAGAAACCACTATGTCCCAGCGCCTTCTCTTGACCAAGCTCCGCCACTCCTTCAGATTTCTCCTTCCAAGAAAGCTCTCTAACCGCTCTGCCTGATCTCTAGGTAAGGAGAAGAGTGGGAAACTGGATATACTTGGCCTAACATACCTTCTGCAAGTTGCTTGAAATGACATTTCCAATTTCTTGGGGGTCCTTATAGGTTCCATTTCCCACTTTGACCAGGCAGTTGTGTTCGCTTCCCTGCAACAGTTGGCAGTCCAATAAAGTAGGCATTGTCAATATATCCTTCTTTAATACGTTAGACCCTTGATCCCCTCATATTTGAGGGTGAACTGCTACTCTCTTGCCTCCTCCTTCCGAGCTCTCCGGAATCTCCTAGTAGGGATGCACAGGAATCATGAGAGCAAGTTTTGCACTTTGGCTTCTCAAGAAATGAGAACCTGAAGCCTCCAACCTCCCTCCTAATGGAAATTCAGTTACCCTGTTTCTTAAAAAGTTTACCTCTCCCTGTTTTTCTGCTTTTTGTATCCTTTCTCTATCTCTAACTCAGAGATCCTTTCGCTCTCTAACCATGCTCTTTTTCTCTAATCATGCCCTTCCTCTATGACTCCTCTTTCTTAATTTGACCTTTCTCTATCTAAATTCTTCCCACCAAATGTGCCCTTTCTCTAAGTCCTCTCTCTATCTGAGTCCTTACTCTCTCCAACCTCTCTCTCTCTAACTGTGCGATTTCGCACTATAACACCTCTCCCTAGCCGAGTTTTTTATCTCTCTAATCCTCTGTAACCATGCCTTTTCTGTATCTAACTCATTTTTCTCTCAATCCAATGCCCTTTTCTCTAAATCGTCTCTCTGATAGTGCTAAAAGTGCAGTTCCTCTCCCCAAGTCCATTTTTTCCAAGTCCATTCTCTCTCTAAATGTTCCCTTACTGTCTCTAAACATATTCTCTCTCTAAGCCTCTCTCTAACAGTGCCCTTTCTCTCTCTAGCTCCATTCTATGTACTATATCTCCTATTAACTCCTTTCTCTCTCTAATTGTGTCCTTTCTATCTCTCTAACTGTGCCCTTTTCTCTCTTTCTTCTATCACTCGAAGTAAAGCAGTGAAGCCTGATATATGTGAAGCTTTGTTAGATCTCTGTGAAGCCTAATCTCTGCACACTTCGAATCTCCACTTTTCAATTACCAAATGCCCCTAAATGAAAAAATAAAATCAATAACAGAGCGATGTTTGAGTTGAGTACTGCAATTTTATGAATATCTCCTTCCAGCATATCTCCAAAAGAATGAATCCAAATGCCAAGGACCTTGACAAAAGGGATGCCTTTCTACTATTTCTATAGTGTGGACGGATCCATATATCTTTTCAATTTACATCTTAGTTTGTCATTTTTGATAATGCAATGTACCTCACCGTTTGTCTATACCCAGGGCTACAACATGCTATATAATTAATTCCTTATCTTTTTTTTTATGATAATTTACAAAATCGCCAATCTTGTTATCTGCCAAAAGATAAAAGAAAATTCATTGATAAAAGAAAAAAAATCTGAATAGAAAGGGCTTGCAAATAAGTAGAAAAAATAAAGTGTCTGAAGCTCTCTACTTAAAACCTGAACAGCCATTGTGGACAAGCAACATTCTTATTTATTAGATAAGAGGAAAGGAATTTACTATGAATCAATCAATACACAAGAAATCGCTATTCTACTTCAAATGAAATGCAGAAGAATACAACAAGAGTTACCCTAGAATGTGGGAACCGCATATGTTTGGTTTGGTCGAAGATATGTAGGCTCAGGGTAGACAGGACTTTTTTTCCTTTTCTTAAAAACTTAATTAAACAAACAGGATATTAGTTGTTAGTCAATGAGGACCATTTACATAAATGACAAAGGGAATAATCGGAGTTTTTGCCAAGGGATTCTTGGATTATGTGCTTTTGGGGACATGAACCCTTTCATTGTGAATAATACAATTTCCAATTTATAAATTTCAACATGATGTACACAAAGAAAGATGAGATAATGGACTGCTAGAAATTAGCAATATGGCCTCCTAGACAATACATGGACGCTTCCAAAAATCACATGCAACAAGATTAACCTAATGCCACAATTCCTTCCCCATAAAGAGTTGCAATTTTTGGAGGCACTACCCATTGAAATCTTTTGAGAAGAGTGAAAGGAGACATGCGACAAAGTTTCATAAGTATGTGTAGAGAAGTAATTGGCAGAAGATGGATTAAGATGAACATTATTTCCCTAGTCCTAATTACACAGTAGTTCATTAGAGCCCAAAGAAAGAGGCAAGGAACCGCAGCAATCTGATATGCCCCTAGCGAAGTGGCATGAAACCAAATCTTGCAACCTAGGACCTGTAGAGAAGTGGGATTGCCTGAGAAGGAATTTGATACTGCAAATACACATCATGTGTGGTTAATAAAAGTTGTTAATACCACTAGGGAGAGGGCAAGAGTACTATACTTCAAAATCTTAAACTCATGGTCCCACTTGTCCCTATAGAGTAAGTAGGTATTTTCTTAATATTACAACATAGAAAAGCAGGGGGGACCCAGGTTTTGGAGGATTACAAATGGAACAGAGGGAAATTGGGAGATTGTTGGCTACGCTTAATAGATTGTATGTATCATGAAGGAAATTTGAGAAACTGTTAACTCTATGAAGACTTCATCCAATATGTTTGTAGGGCATCCAATAAAGGTACTAATGCATTAGCCTTGTCTAAGTTGAGCACATGTGATTTTCTATTGTGAATGTGGCCTTTGCAAATTCCAATAAAAAATGAATTGCCCTTGTTGAAGATGTAACCAAATTTTTCATCACAAGAAAGTTCTGAGCTACTTGGAACTAATTAGAAGAGGTACGAAATATGAAATCCAATATCAAAAGCAATCACAATCCGAATTACCAAGAGCAACGGCAAAGTAGGGAGTGGAGGAAAAGGAATGGCAGTTTTTATATAAAAGCAAGTAACCCAAAAGGTAACAATCTTAAGGAACACCATCTTTCCACATTTACAATATATTCTCACATCAAACATCTAGAAAAAGTACATAAAACAATGCTATAGGAAAGTCAGTAAAAATATGTTTTTTTTTTTGATGAACGTTAACATAAAGTCAATAAAAATATGTTCATAAAATCTATCAATGATATGCACGATAATACTGCAGATCCTGACACAGATCATGATGAATTACTCTTAGTAGAAGTGAAAAGGAGCCAAGTGTGTAAGACAAACAATGCAAATGAGCCTTGCATGTTGAATAAAATAATTACCTATACAATTACTAGAACACCTATCTTCATATAAGCTTCTTTTCCATGTACTTCCTTTCTTTTAGATAGTTTACTGCTGGTTCCAGATCAAGGGCCATGAGGTCATATAATCTAGTGCTTTCCATTTATTTTCTCCATAATCAGATTAATGGCAACTATGTAAAGGTCTCCATATATGTTCTGGAAATTTTATACCACCAGAAGCCTGTCTATAACGCGTGAAGAACCACCAATTCCATGATGCACTATTTGCTAAAGCATTTCATGTCATAAAAGTTATGTGGACAATATTGAAGCAAAATGGTGTATTTATCGCTAAGAAAGCAAACATGGGGCAAGCTTATAAATTAAGTTAAAGTTAAAAACCTGAAATTTTATTTCTCAAAATTAATAAGTCTCCATTACATTCAATTGACTAGCATGGAATTTCTTTACGAATTTACCTAGGGGGGGAAGCTCGTTTAGCTGGTGGAGGTGAGGAACGACTCCTACGAGCAGCTACAGCAGGACTGGCAAAGGAAAAAGGGAAAGAAACATAGAAATAACTCAGCATGTACTCCCATGATGCATGCTACAAAAGGAAACCAATATAATTTCATCTTAAAGATCGATAATGCAAGTCATCCACATTTCATGGAGTGCAAGTCATCGACGTCGCATGAAGCCACCAAACAATGTCTTTAATTGAAATCAAACAAGCTTCTAGTCCACACCTTCAATAAGGGAAAGATACAGAGATCTCACAGAGAGAGTATGGTAGGTAAATGGTACTCCAAACAAGCATCCTCCACCCACAATGATTGATGGCGGACATTGACCGCCTTTTGCAGCTCACTATGGTGAATCTTTACTGTCCATCCTCAGAACCGGCAATGGAAGAAGCCTTTCAGAATACCATATACCAAACTCCATTAAACTATGGTATACTTTCCCATTCATTAAGAAGATTATAAGCAAACCTCGCTTATTCAAATATATTAGTCTCAGTGCGATGAAATGGGTCATTGCTAACCTAAACAACTTTCAGTTCAAAGTAATCCTATAAAGTATGAAATTTTTAAGCAATTCCAAAATCATTTTCAGTTCCCAAACTATCCACTTATAAATCATAGAGACAAAGGATCTATAAGACCACCTGACCAACTAATCATATAAAATGTATGAATTTCTTGAGCAAGTTCAAAAGATAACTTCCATGAACATCAAATTGCAAGGAGAGAAAAAATGAATAATTCAAATAATACGGAATCATAGAAAGTTTTCTCCAAATATGACAAACTTCCACCTTCTGAGCAAAGTAATGTGCGCTAATCTAAACTAAAATAGAGCACAAAATAATTCCAATAAGAAAGATTTAGAAGTAAAAGTCAAGAAAAATAGTAAATAAACACAAGAAAAAAAAAAAAGGTGGCAAACTGACGAGGTAATGTACCTTCGTTTTGGGGGAGGCGGGCTTCGGCTCTTGGAACTGGCACTACCAGAAGGAGATGATGAACTAAATGACTTAGAGCGAGACCTAGAACGAGACCTAGAGCGAGAATCAGAGCCAGAAGACGAGCCAGAGAAAGAGGAAGAACCAGACATGGAAGCAGGAGGGCTAGCAGCACGAGCTCGGCTTGACTTGGCCATGGTGACAACGCAAAACCCTAAAATTCCACCTCAGTTAACACCAGAAAACGAGAAGATGCAGAAACCCAATAATGGAGGGCCTGAAGACAATCTGGACAGACAACCAGAATGCGAAAACCACAATAAGCTTGAGGTTGAGATTGAGTTTGAGAAACCAGAAAACCAGAGTGACGCAGGAAAGCTCACGAATGGGTCATGGCCGTTTAACAGGAGAAGGGGAACGAAAATAAACCCTAGAAAAACCACAAATGCGTCTTGCCCCGGTTAAAGGGGTTTCAAGTGTACCGTGGAGAAAACTATAAATGAAGAGGTTATTTTAGTCATATCATATTTTAGGGGTACTTTTGCCGCTAAAAATTCATTAGAAATGTTACGATGTTAAAAAACTGTCAATTCGATTATCTTGACTATAGACGTGAAAAAAAATCGGTTTGAAACCTTATAAATGGTGTGTCCTGTAATATATAGATTTTCAAGTCTAAGATATATATATAAGAAAAAATAGAAATCAAGTCTTATAAATAATATATTTTGTAATATATTATTTAGACTGCCAATTTTTAAGCATTCATAAACTTACTAAATCAATGCTATTTTTATTTTTATTTTTTATAATTAGAGATAAAGTAAGTTTTTAGGCTATGATAAAGATTTCTTATTTAAAACAACATGTTTCGACACTATTTAAAGGTGTACCTTATTTTGTTTGGTTAAGGCCTCACCATTATACAAATTATACCCTTGGAAAATTATAAGGACATTATCGTAAATATCTCTCTGATGTTTGAAATTATAAAATAATTACAATTTTCTAACTAGCATATACCTATTATTTCCCTAAATTGGTAATTCCTTAGATCTCTGTCCCTCGAAAGCACCATTTTCTGTTGATACTGTTAGGTTTGTAGCGGTGCAAGAACCACCACGAAAAGGAGGCAATATTTTTGCCAATCTTAAAAAGGAATAAAAGAAAGAAACTAAAAAGTAAAATAAATACATAAAGTGGTCCCAATTAATCTTGACTATTGGATGTGAAATTGGTGAAAGAAATACCTATGTAATTTTTTGTCAGGGAAATACAATTTTTTTAAAATAATAATAATAATAATAATTGTCCCTTATAATTATGGCAACAAGATCACTATCTTTTTACAAAAAAACAAATTCCAAAAATTAAATAACACATCAATAAAGAAAATCTCAACTACTTGATGCCAGTCATACAACCTAATACTGTGCTTGAGAATATAAAATAAAACAACAAACAATCAAAATAAAAAAATACCGGAGATTACCTCAATCGGGTTTTTTACACCCCACACCGAGTCACCACATCCAATGGCGCGGGATCAGCGGTCTAGCTTCAATCTTGAACCAATAAAGTTAATTTCGGCAGAACTAGGTAACTACCATTAAATCTTTACAAAACCCTAACTCAATTATTCCAACCTTTAAATTGGATCATGAGATATTAAATCATGAGAGATAGTAAAGAGATAAAATAAGAGAGTAGAAAGAAAGAGGGGCATGACCCATAGGAAAGAGAAAGAGTTTATGGGAGAGTGAGGTGCATTGAGATAGAGAGAGAGCACCCCTATTTATAGTGAACTTTAATTCTAGGGTTTCCCATAGTTTGTCTCTTTTTTTATATTGAATATGGACAGTTGATCAATGTGACTTATAGGGTGAGATATCCGAGCCATCCATTCCATATATGAGCTATCAACATTATGGAAGGTGCATCAACTATTATCCCCCTTTTCTTAAAACATTTTCCCATCAATATATTTAAATAAATCAAATCCATTAAATATAAGGTGTATACCATAAATTGCATATTTCATCTCATATTTTTCATAAGAATATTTCAATAATATCAAGTCAAGATATTCCTTCAATAATCAAGATAAGATATGGTCAATATTTTCTAATCAACATTTGACCACATGCGACAAGATGTAGTTACCATATTTAACAAACTTGAAGACAAAGCAACAAAATAAGGTATTAAAGGGTGGAACGTGCCACCCATGTATGGCATGTGGGGCCCTACATAATACCCACATGGTGGGCCCATGTGCACTATGGGCCCCATGTATATATATATTTTTATTAAATATTTTAAAATTTAAACAAAATGAATTTTAAAACATTTTAACTTTGTAAATCAATAACTTCATTTTTATAAGTCCGAAAATAAGAAATAAAATATCAAATGACTTATAAAAATTCAAATAATAAATCTAAAATAATTTAACAATAAAATCAACATAATTAAATTAATATGATGGGAAGTGGATCCATATGGTTCAGGAATTCAATTACGGGGTACTCCACCTTCAACTGTGGACTACATACCACACTTGCTTTATCGAACCGACCCAGTGTTTCCCATGACCCGCATTCTAAGCAGGGGCTCATTAACGAGTCATCAAAATCTGGTCGATGAGCCAAGGAGTCGCAATCCCTATATTTGGATTACAGGTCCTCTCATAGAAACAAGTCAAGCTCACCACGACCTGATGCGACCACAGCTCTATGGTGCATAGGGGTATCTCTCGCACATGCATATGCTTCATCCAAAAGTGGATATTTAGCTTTCCCGAATGATTTATCTATATGTATGCCGTGTAATGGAACATGGATGAGGTTTTGGCCTCCGTCTTTGTAGGCGTAGTCACACACGAGAGTTACATAGTCCCTCGGCTCACTCATCTAGGCATAAGTTCCGACCTCATCAAGGGCTAACCCAAAAACACTTATCAGTTTATTTTTTTTATACCTAGGTACTTTGGGTTTTCCAACCGACTGACCTAAATTGTCAAGCATAATTCGTTATCCGCAAATATCATTTTGTTAGTATGGTATTCGATGGACCACACTCCCACTGAATTTATGTTCCACTATAGTAAATGCTTTTCATTACATACTAATAAGGCATTTAAAGGCCACATAAACCCAACAATTGGGTGGTTGCATTATCCATTGACCAAGCTCAAAATTAAAAGTAACTTTTAAAACAAAAATTGTAATACATGAAAGCTATAAAATTTCACATAAGATGATTATAAGTAATTGTGACCCCATATACAATGGTCTTATTGTATACAATCCTAAACGTTGGTAATATTATTATTTTTTTTTCACTTTAGAGAATTTTATTTATATTATGTGGATTAAATTACAAATCAAGGCTCGAGGTAGAAGGTGGGCAGTTGGCTCTTTTTTCTTACTCTTTTTTTTTAGTTCTATTAGGCTTGGCTTGCCCCAAACGAGGCATTGCTCTTAGACCAAGGCATCGTTGGCCTCGTCCAGACTAGGATCAAGCCCACCTCATAGGGACTATGGTCTAGCTTGGACCAGCCTGGGCTAGCCTGAGTCATTGCAGAAGAAGAGTATAAACCCATGTTAAATAGATGAGAAGGACTGTATGGTGGGGCTAGACCACATAATTAACTTACTTCACTTTTTATGTTACGAGTACTTTAAGTTTTAATACGAATTAGTGAGTATCTTTCAAAAAGACATAAAATGGTGAAATCCTCCAAAGCAACAAAGCTATATACCAACAAATGTTAGTTAAATTTTATTGCTTTAATATTTAGAGAATGAATGAAATTTGCATAAATATTTTATATGTTTTTTAGATTTATAAATGTTTTCAAATTTTCATATTTGATGCTAAGATCTAGTTGTTTTGCAAAATAGATTTTATACTATTTTTTTTTCTGGAACACCTCTAGTTCAACACTAAGTGTCTCGGGCACATGAAATGTCGAATTGACTCATAGTAAAAGAGAGGACCCACACAAAATTATCCAACCGGCTTATGGCAAGAAAAAGAAAACCTAGGAGCTAAGTGCTAGACCAACTTCATGCATAATAGAGAACCCAAAAGCTAGTTCGCCTAGGGAGGGATACATACAAGTTAGAATTTCCGCATTGATACAAGTTAGAATTTCCGCATTGAAGTTAGTTTCTTTGAATCTAGGTTTCTTTAGTTCATTCTTTTCCACTCTATTGGGAATTTTTTGAAGGAAAAGCATATAATGAGACCATCTATATAAGGTGGTCACAATTAATTTTGACCATTAGTTACAAAATTAGATGACTGCATCTATTCAGTTGACCAAGCTCAAATTTCAAAATAATTTTTTTTTTTAACTCTGTGACACAACCAAGTTATTAAATTTTACATCCAATGGTTGTAGGTAATTGTGACCTCCTAGTATAAAAGGTAAACGGTCTCATTATATACAATCCATTTTCTTAATATAACAAATGTTATACATATATAAAAAAAATGATCGAATATTCTTTTTACTTTTTGAAAATTTTGAACTATACCTTTTTTTTTTTTCAAATTTTACAATCATACCTAGTTTTCACTATTTTTTTAATACTCCGAATAACCTTTTGCGAACCTATTAAATCTGCTATAATCCTAAGTTGCTTCCAAAACTCAAATGGGTGCTTAGACACCGTTTAGGCCCTCATTTTTTTTTTTTGGATGAGTAAGTGGGGAGGGTGCCTACCTTTGGTAGGAATTGAGCCTCTTCATTTTTATTCGTTTAGGCCCTCATTTTTTTTTTTGGATGAGCAAGTGGGGAGGGTGCCTACCTTTGGTAGGAATTGAGCTTAAGACGTAGCGTTGCAAATCTTTAAGCACCAACCAATTAAGCTCGGGCTCTTTTTTTATAACTAAAGTAAGGCTCACCTTTAAATAGTGGCAAAACACGTTCTTTCTAATGGTATGAAGATTTATTTTTATATCTAATTATAAAATTTTAAAATTAAAAATAGTACAGATTGAAAGATCAATAAACACATGAAAATTAACGTTCTAGATAATACATTACAAGATACATTATTCTCAAGAACTTGAAATCCTTTTTTCTTATGTCCATACATCTCGAAGTAGATTTGATAAAATCGATGGTTTTTTCAACATCAAAACAACCTCTTCCATTGAATTTTTGTTTTGCGCTTTAATTTGATTATTTAGAGCCTCGCTCTTAATGTAAACTTTTTCCCATCATAAAAGCCTCTAGAGTGTCATTAACTTTATGTAGCTTTGATCGCGTTTCCCCTCCGCACTAATTTTCCCTAATTTGATTCAAGGGTAGAATGGAAACGTTAAAACCCCCGCCTTTCGCTCTTTGCTATTCCATTTTGGTTGGTTTCAAAATTGCCATACGAAACAGTTTTCATATGAAATATACAATTTATACACGTTTAGTTTGTGCGTAAGAAGGATAAAAACTTATCCTATAGAAACAGTTTTACCACTGCAAGGAGCAAATCATGTGAAAAGAAGTCCCTACCCCACAAGGTGGGAAAGTAAGTTCCCGGGGATTGATTACTCGCGAGGAACCAAAATAATATTTACGATTTTACCCGCAACTGCTGAAACCAAAAAACGAAATAGGACGAACCGAAAACCTTGGTCCCTCCATTTCACAAAACCCTAGCCCCTCTCAAAGCCTCCCTCGCCACTCTCTCTCAACCCTCTGCGTTCTCTCTAGACCCACAAGCTTTCATCTTCTTCAAGCGAGGATCTATTTGCAAGCTTTCATCTTCTTCACCGATGCAACTTTCCGAGAAAGCTTGATAACGCTCTCCTGGAGCCCTTCTTCACCGCAAACTGAGGAAAGCTCTAACCCTACGAACTGAGGTAATAAGTTTTGCTAACTGCACTAGAGCAAGTTAGAGAGAGATGTCATTAATGCTGTGAGTTGTTGAATGCTTTCAACCACCGGGAAAATGACTCCCATTTTAATCCCCACCCACATTCGCAATGCCCCTTAAGTTCCCCATCCAACCATTTCTCTCTCTCTAAAAACAAGCAATCTATCTCATTGTTATTTACCTGCAAATTCCTTGCATCTCAGTTTAATCTCTCTCATCTTTGTATACATAATTTTCAGAGCTTGTATGCTTTGTTTTATGCTCTCCTGGTTTCCGGTGAATTAGGGATTGGGATATGGGAAATAGGGCCTGGTGGTCCGGGTCCTTAACTCTAAGGGGTTTGGTTTGTGGCTTAGAGTTTAAGGTTTTAGAGGTTTATCTTTTTAGTGATTTCATTATGGTGTTTTTTTTTGTTTTTTTGCATTAACCTCTTGGTGATTTCAGAGCTGATTTTAGGGATTGCATGCTGATTTTTTAGATAAATCTATTTGAAGTGTATTGGATTTCTTGATGAACTAGGATTCAGTGGTTGTAAAGATTTTGTTTTTTTCTTCCCCCCCCCCCCCCCCTCTTGAATTTTCAAGAAATAAGTTGATATTGCTGGAAAAAAAAAATGTAAGAAAATATTAGAGTTCAAATTCATTGCTGCGATTTATATTTTTGGATATTCTGATGCTGTGATTTTTCCATTTTTATTGCTCTATTTTGGATGTAAATTTTGCCACCCATGTTTTCATTTATGCCACTAAATTTATGGATAGATAAATTGATAGATCGAGATACCTGGCTATTTGATTTTTCCCACAGTTTTGGGTAGTTGATTAGGATCAAAATAATGGTTATCGTTCTTTTCCTTCAACTTTTTTTGTTAATGAGATGTTTTATGTATATTTTTCTCTAGCAATAAAGAAACTTCATGACACGATTGGATGAATGGAGTTCCTTTATCTAGTGTGATTTACTAGTCTGCAATCAATGTTTTATGTGCTTTTCTGCATGAGAAGAATTTGGGCCACAATTGTATTCGGCTGATTGGGAATGTTGAATTTAGTTTTTGATGTTCAATTTCCTACCTTACTGCAATTAGTTTGTGGAATGCTGCTGTCATTTCATAAGACGTTGTTCGTGGTAACCTTTTGACATGGATATATATTTAATCTTTTATGGTGTACTGGTGTGGTTGCAATTTCCATTATTGGTTAAATGGATATAAGAACAAATTTAAATCTCGACTGTACATTATGTAAGAAATGAATTAGATGGGGTTGTAGCAAGAAAATCTTATTCAAAATATGCATTTTGTATATCAAATCTATGAAATACATAAAAAATGGTTAAACAGGTAGTTTCCAGCTTTCCCAATCCTAAACGGGTGAAATACTAGCACCACAACTTATCAAACGAGGTTCCCAGCTTTTAGGTTACTGATTTTGACTTTCCCTCCTAGATTTCAGGAAAGTTAGCAGCTGGGATTTTTCTAGGGAAACTGCAAAGGAAGTTATCTAATGCAACCTTTGTGATTTTTGAAGTTGATCATCATGGACCTATTAGGTATATATGCCTCATTATGGACTTCATAGAATGTTCAAAAAGATGGATTCGGGTCGGGCGGGCGCCCAGAGACAAGGTGCCCTCACCAAAATCAACCCCCCCCCCCTTCCCCCCAACAACCCCCAACATCGTTCAAGTGAGAAAAAAATTCAATTAATCACAAAAATAAATCAATCTTTTAACTACAAACATAGAAATATATCGTAAAGGAAAAAAAACGTAAAAGAAAACACACATGATTCATAACAACACATGATTCATAACATAATATGTTGTAGCAAAATAAAATCAAAACCCTCTTTCAAAGATAATAATAGTTTAAAAATATCAAAATCAAATCGATGTTGGTGCAAACCTCGTCTATTGGGTCACCAAAAGTTGTCAAAATCAACTACTATAAGCGCTTAAAATCTACCCACGAACTATTGCTTTCGTTTTGGAAAGAAATCGAAAGAATAAAAAATTTATCGATCTTTTGATAAATCACAAGAGTGGTTTTTGGGGGTTTTTCTGACGCTAAAGGCCACAAATTTTCTATTGGGGGTTTAGAATACCCCCTAAAACTCTTTTCTCCTCCTTTTAAGGGGGGAAAATTGCTTTTTTTACCCTCATCGAGGGTTGTTTTTCTGCCCGCCCAGAAGTTGTCATGGGGCGGTGCCTAAGCGGGCGCCTAGGTGGCGTTTTGACCGCTTAGGCGAGCGCCCAAAAGTAGGGCGCATAATGACCCCGCCCAGACTGTGTCTAGGTGCTTTTTTAATTGTTTCGCCTAGGCGGTTGGGCGGCCGAATTTTCGAACATTGTTCATAGCCATGTGATGGACTTTCATGGACATAATAGGTCTTTGAAGCCTTAGGCACCCATTTGGGTGCCTTGTTGAGTACCCAAATGAGTGTTTGGGACCGTCATGTACCTAATAGGTCTACGAAGGTTATTCTGGATATTAAAAATAAAATTATGAAAAAATAGGTGTGGCAGTAAATTCCAAAAAATATTGTTAATTTTTAAATAATTGGGGTATATTTTTATAACAGAAAGTAGTATATGAGCCGGGGGATGCATTTCTACATTTCCGTCCCCAAGGTATCAAACATCCGTCTAAGATGGATATAAAGTTGTGGTCCCTCCTAAAAGAATAAAATCTAACGGTTCAAAATATTTGTCCCCAAATTTATCTTTTTAGCTTTTAAATTTTTTCTACCGATTAATGATCTCCATGTTAGATACTATACATAACCAAAAAATTAGGTTTAAATTCCATCCAAAAAATATATCAAAAAGAGGGGCTGCACATATGAATCATAGGGACTCATAGAAACGTTATAATGTCCTTTCTAAAGAATTAAAAAAGGGTGTCGTTGCTTGCAACTTTAAACAATCAAAGTAAGGTGTGCCTACAAATTTTATCATTAGATGTAATATTTGGTGTAAAAAATTCTTGGGATGGTGACAATGGTTTAAAAATCTAGTTCATCTTTAATTATAAAATTTTAAACTCCAAAAATGGTTAAAATCAAATGGATCTATAAACACATGAAAATCTTGAAAATGGACGGTCCAAATAATGTGTTGCAAGATGTACTATTGTTAGGAGTATATATATATATAT